TGTGTTGTGCCAAAATTACATCTAAAATAAAATTACACTCCAGCACAAACCTGCGCTACTTATTCTTCAAAAGGACTTTATCCCAATGCACTGCGTGGATATGGAGTGAATTTTCCAAATGAATAGAAAAATAAAGTGAGGTAGTCCAGCTTGAAGTTATTTTTCATTTAAAATAAAATGAACATGTCCATAATATGTGTTCGCAATTTAGCTGAAATCAACCTGTTCTTGCCTCCATAAAAAAATGTGTAAGCAGGCAAATAGTTCTACATAACACACTGGGTTTGTACTGTATCTAGCTAAACTCCAGCAGGTGGATTGCATCAGTAACCAGTGCTAAGAAGCTACTTGTATGTTAGAGGCAGTTCAATTCTGTCGACACAATTTGACTTTATTAGACTAAGAGGCATATCACATACTGTCCATTTGAACCTTGCTCCTCCACAGATCAGTCAGTTGTATTAGGTGAAAATATCCACTGTGCACTGTCATGTGAACTTACTGGTTTTCAGCTCTGTACAGACTTTTATATGCAGCTGTAAATGTCACATTGTTGTGACTTTGTTTTTATTGTTATGTTACAAACAGCTAAAATAGAAATACTGAACTGAAAACTGTGTCTCTTCTCCCCTTGGGAGTCCCGCCCTGCTCTTTGAGAACCAATGATTGATTGGAATTTGTGAAAGAAACAAAACAGGGATGTGCTGTTCTACAGTGACAATAATAAGATGATAATAATGTGAGAAAATGAGATGAGAAAGTATTTATTTCTTTAACTTTCTCTTTTCTATTGGCCTAGACTTTTGTACTTTATCTTTAGCTTAGACAGTAACAGATGTCTCAACATTACTCCTGGGCTGTTCACTTAAAGCTTTGCTGCATCTGTATAAGCTAACTTCCTATTGCATATGATGCATGTTATCCTAATAACCTCTTACTGTGGAGTATACAGTCTAGCACATGATTACCACACTTCTTCATTGTACACCATTTTCAATTACCACCTATTAGGGATTCCAGCATCCACGGCCCCCTTCACAGAGAACCCACTCCTGCTGCCCACCCACTAACCTACACACACTCAATCCAGCACCCAAATAGAGTGAAAACATGGCAGGCGGCCCAACAAAGCGTGATGTAAGTTTGGAGAGCCACTTAACAAAGGAGAATCAAGCCATGCGCTGTCTCTCGAGGTGTGGAGCAGGGAGGAGGAAAGACGCACAGACGTTTTGCTTTGAGAATCTCCACTTCTTCCTGATGAAGGCAAATCATTGTGTTGTGTGGAAATGGTCCTCATGCACATGCAGGATAACTAACAGAGCCCGTGGTGGTATTGTTGGAGTGGATGGCTCTGACTTGCAAATAGCTCCTTCAATCTGAATGGAGTGCTTTACTTAATAAAAATGCTGGAGAGCTCCCTCAAAGAAGTGGGAAAATCCACCACAATAAAACTATTATCATTACTTATGTGTGATTAAAAGCCCAAGAGGGAAAAGTGCTCATAATTTTTACGCCAAACAAATTGTTACTCAAGGTAACTTTTCTGAATGGTATGATTGCTTTTCTTAAAATGACCCTCGGTGTAGCATTGAATGGCTTTCATTGACTGCAACAGATAAAATGCATTGTATTGTAACTTTAAGGAAGAACACAACGCCTCAATCAGGGGCTTGTTTATAAAGTCTTGTTTATAAAGTGCGTATGAACAAAAATTTTTTGTACCCTATTTTGTTTTTTTCCCCATAAATATTGCAAACTAACAAAAAAATCTTTCATTAAAAATTTCTGTCTCTTCTAGTTGATCAGCAGCATGTTATAACCATAATTTCTTATTGATGTTTGCGATTGTAAACAAAACAAAATTGGTTAAAGCTCCATTTGCATTTGTACTTGAACAATAATCCACTGAACGTTCTCATGAAGCTGCCTGTGCTTTCATTTGTAAACAGATCCTACAGTATGTTTATGTCAGCATTTATTCACTGGTCTTCTCTGCATCCCGCTGTCAATCGCAGCCTCTTTCACCTGGTTGTGTCCAAGCTGATGGAGCCGTGCATCGCGCCGGCTCCCAGGACAAGCAGGAGGCAGGGGAACCAATTAGATGCACAGGCTTTTAACATTCTCCTCAAACTACGCGGAAAGGCCGGGGTTTGAGCTCAGGTTCCACCCGAGTGTGCCACCGGCTTAATTATAAAGACGCACATTTTCCCAAGGCCGCTACATGCGCACATATTACTAATTCATCCTGCTGCTCTGAATACATTGAGTTGGGCACACAGGGTACTGTGTTTTGGGTACAAATATTCCATTGTTTTGTACATATACCTTAACACAAGACAATTCAGGAAACGCATGATATTATACCGAATGCTGGAGTGATGGGCAGACAACAGAATGCAGAGACTGTTACTATATGTTTACCACAACCTTTGCCCCCATATAACCACACTTTACCCAATTAGTAGTTTATCGGTTATCACAGGCTATTTTTACCCTTTCCTAGCCATTTTTACACACACTGCTTCTCAAGAAAAAGATAGCAAAGATTTTGACATCAGGACTCATAAAGTTAGTCACTTTTTATTTGTTTTTAGTTCTATTTTCTGCGTCTCCATAACCACACTCCCACCTCTGCGAGTAACAACAGCCAAACTTATTCAATATTTATCCAGCACCAAACTCTCCCCGTGACATGTTTGTAGGTGGACATTTTGCTTCCCGCACTGCTGCTACTGTAGCATTGGCGCATTTTAGTAGAGAAAAATCCCATTTGCTTTTTGGTTCTGTTTGACTGATAGCTCAAAATGGTCTGTCTGTCAAACTCCAGTGTGGCTGGTGCTGCGCTGAGAGCACATCACAATCCTATCACATTGCACACGTTTGGCACCGTTTCAGGTCTGTAAAAATAAAAACCAAACCCGATTGAGCCAAAATGAGTACCAAATGTAAAGTGCATCACCGTTAGCTGTCTGTCTGTCAGGAAGGCTTTTTTGGTAACACACCATCGAGCTTTGCTTCTGGATATGAAAGTGGTTCAGCACATATGGCAGCTGCAGGCTTAGGGGCCAACTTGTTGAATTTGATGGATAGTGAAAAGGCCTTGAGGCTGCGCACACTCGTCCGTCCTATTTTCTTCTGTTTCTTCTTCTCCTGCTTCATTTTATTGATTATTGCAACTTCTGTGAAGATACATATTACCTCTTCCCCTGATTGAATGTCAGACTTCCACACCAGACAGTCGTAAATAGAGGAATGTTGGTGTCTTGTCTACTTTCACTTTTCCTTCAGTGTTGCTTGAGCTAAGTGTTTTCAGTACCTCTGTCCTGTCCACAGCATATGGAGCCTTGTAATTGTAGTTTGCCATAAGTTCCACAGGTCTGATGAAAAGAGGACAAAACAATAAACAAATAAATAAATGTGCATATACAGAAAACTAAACAAAATGTACTTATATTTCATTATTAACAATAATGCATTAGTAGGAAAATAAGAAAAATGAAGTGAAATGGGTTCTGTGAAGGATGAGAACTGACCATCTCAAACTTTTATCATTTCTTTTTTTTTTTTTTTTTTTCATTTATTGTTGAGAATAGACATACAAAACATACAATACAATACATACAATACGACAAACAAGAAACAAACATAGACAACAAAGACAACATAGGTGATCAGTTTCAGTGATATTTACAACGTAAGAGGAGAATCTATACAAAGAGGGGAGAGAGGACAGTGAGACCAACAAGAAAGAAAAAGCAATTGTTGCACGCACGCGCATGTGTGTGTGTGTGTGTGTGTGTGAGTGAGTGTGTGCATGTGTGTGCATGAGAGTGAATGTGGAATTACAGAAATCTTTTCTTATGTACAGAAGAGGGGGAGAAGGAAAGACAAAGTGTATATCTACACATACATACATACACATATATATTCATGCATATATACATACATTCACACAAACAATAATTATAAACATATAATAGTAAATTTAAACATATACATATAAATATATATATAACATTTAAATTATAATAATAATGAGTAATGATATACGATTGTTGCATAATAACATTGATAATGATTATAATAAAGATGATGATGGTGATAATAGAAATAAAGTATAACATCCGCAATAATAAAATTAATAACTGCAACAATAAATAAGCTTGTTTGGATTGAATGTGTTTTTAAATGTATTTATTTTTTATAGATGTGATCTAATTGAATTGAATGTTATTATATTATTATACATACATATATATATATATACATATACATATCATACACTCCTCCACTCCACTCAAACTTTTATCATTTCTGTTACAAGGTGTTACATAATGTCCGTCCCCTACTTTAGTCCCTGCATACACTGCCATACACTTTGTATTTATGGAGGGACTTCAGAAAAGTGGTAGCCTGTCTCCTCTGTCCTCAGCATCAATAAAAGATGCTTGTGAGGAAATGGCCCGGGTCAGAGTGGCGGACACTGGGCATGTGTGTGTATGTGTGTGGACAGGAGGGTGTGATGGCACTGCCTTCAGGCTCCTCCAGGCGGAAGAATCACTGAGCAGGTGGAGCGCGCAGCTCTGCTGTCTTCTGACGAGTGCCCGCCGTCTTAGGCTTTGTCAGGACCCCTGGAGCGAGGACCGCGCTGCGCTGTGATCATTAGGATTCACAATGGCTTTGACAGCACGCCTCTCCAGCGCTGGTCCAGCATATGCCCAGGGAGACCACTGGTTGGCTGGCTGCTTCTCTTACTGGCTGCCCATGTCCACCACACTCATCCCTTAATTCAAACAGACTTGTGTGTTTGCGGGGCCCATGGTCCATATTTAGCAGTATAGCATTAGACTAATCTCTATATTTGTTTCATCTCAAAGTTGTGATTTATTTAGCATCCCTCTGCTGAGTCTTTAAGGGATCATAGCAGCAACTGTCTATTACAATAATTCAGTTATTAAGACAGCTGCCTTCTAAGTTTGTACAGTGTGCTGAGGCTGTGCTCAGAGTAAGTGGCTCAGGTGGTAAGGAGAGGACGTCCTAATAATAGCCTTGTCTCCACGCCGGTCCACAGGCTGTAGCCGTATCGATCCGCTCCACCTTCGCGCCATCGTTATACACCAGATAGCCCGGCTCTTAGTGAGTAGTGAATCTTGTGCGGCGCAGAGCACAGCAGCGATTTCTCCGAGCCGTGCCGGATAAAGCCGGAGCAGCCCCGGGGGGACCAGCGCTGCTTTTTTAATTGTTTGTAGTGTTAGTTGGCCACGCTGGAGGCTGACTCTCCAGGGACAGGCCTCCAACCAGGGTCCTGACCTCAGCTCCATAGTCTGCACACAAACAGTGACACAGTGAGCAGGTAAGGCAAGCAACAGGCCCCAGGTCACCCCCACTCACTGAACACCCCAGCCCTGCGTAATGGGGAACAAGGCATTTTAACTTATATACAAAAGAAAATGACACCTTTGAAATAAAAAGGCATATTCATATTATTGGTGATGTCCAATTTCCTACATGACCCACTTTACAACAAAAGATGATACTTTTGCTCTTACAATAAGTAATAAAAACATTAAAAGAAAATGAGTATTATTTTTACTATACTGTAAATGACTAAAAAAGACCATGGAATGCTTTCGCAGGAAAGGCTTCAACTCAGATGGCATTGTACTAAATTGTGAAAGTGATAAACCAAATGAGATTTCATTGTGAACGTCTCAAATCTTCCTGCGTGTACAGAGGAGGTAGTTTTATCCTCTGATCTCTGGTACATTAAAGTAATACGTGGGGTTTGAAAAACCATTAGCTGGCCTTTTCCAGAGCACCAGGTCTCTTTTAAAAGCCCAATGAACCTCTGCACAGATCAGCCGAGAAACTTAGTTAAAGCCACAATAACACATAGTCTCAAATTAGTCTTAAATGGTGTTAGTCCTCAAATAAGACCATTGACTCGTGACCCTCACTGCTGCAGGCCAATTACACCTACCACTCTCTTCTATTTGCAACGTTTTAAGTGAGACAGTGAGTTCTGGCGTTGAAGATTTTAAATATTCCTGTGTCTGTGTCTGAGTGGCTCTGTCCGTCAGAATGGCAGCTCTTGTAGAATAGAGAGTGGGTCATCTCCCTGACAGAGCTCAACTAGTAGTTATGGCAGCCTCGGCACGCACGGCTGCTCCGGCACCGCCACCAGGAGACAGGGATCATCAAGTGTGTCCCGTCGAGAACCGCACCCACAAACACATGTGGGCTGGAATAAACTTAAAATACCATTATGACCAAGAGGGCCGTGCAAATGACTTTGTTCATTATTACTCAATTTATTTTGGCTTTTCATGAAATCAGAAGGAAACTAAGGTAGAAACATAACTGATACAAAATGATCAAAATGATATGAATTGACATAACCAGGAAAAAATGGGGAAAATCACTGAAACATTATGTAAAATTATGAATGCTCTTTATGGTTAATGAAAGGAATTTATGAAAAGAAATAGAAAAGTGATTCCACAACGCTAACAGTGTTTTAATCTTGCAGGCCACTTAATGTCCCATTTAAATGTTCTCAGCATTTATATGAATCATGAATGTCTGTGCCCGCGGGTTGGCCGGCACAGTCTATTAGAATACATCACTGGCCTACCAGGGGACCACTTTGTGCATCCCAGGAAAATGTATCATATCTCCACTGTAGAGCGGAGACATGACTTCATGTGTCTTGTGATGTAAGTATTATTACAATTCATGAAATTCAAACACTTATGGCAGGACCATTAATTTCAGCCAAAAGCCGTTGGGAAGAGATTTACAGTGGAGTTAAGGGCGATCACACCATTAAAGCAGACACAGGGAGACTGCCAGACATAACTGGTTTGAGCTACACTCATTTCTCTGAATAGAAGAGCGGCAATTAATATTTCTGCTTCTGGCTCTCAGGTCAAATTGGCAAACATTTCCTGAAAGTGCGAGAGCCTGGTGCGGTTCTGAAGGTTCACCAGTTAAAACCTAACCTCTGCCTACTGGCTCGCCTCTGTCTCAGTCTACATAGAAAGTGCTGAATTTTGCATGAGCGCCTGAGCGTATAGACACTGGAACCCTATAGCGTTGTTTACTGATACTTCCTCGAGGCAGGCCGCTCTGATAAGACGCAGCAGCTGAGACCTGTCTCCTGTGGATGCTGTGATGCTCTTGTTATACAGTGAGCATGAAGAAACAATGGGCAGAGGTCAGGACATGCACATGCACTTCCCTGCTTCAAAATGACCAATCAGGAAGTCTGCTCCCAACCAATGCTCATTTCTCCACAAATTGACATGTGACTCACAGCAGGAAAAGTCATGGTAGTCCTTCAAATTGTAGTGTACAAATATGTTTCCCTGTCCAAAAAATCAATAGGATGACTTAACGGTGGTACACAATGACAAATGGAAACTTTTAGAAATAATGTTTAGAGGGAGATGTAGCAGGGAATCAAATGACTGTGACTGCTGGATGTGACAGCGGGGTACAAAGATACAAATAGGTTCTTGTCAGCAGATACATAACCGGAAGATTCAAAGCACCTTTGGAGTCTAGTCTGCAGCTCAGCCGCCTATAATGGTGTGCGCCGTGCCTGCTCTGTGTTAGCGATCATTTGTCACATGGCCACAGTGTTATGGTTCAAACAGAAATTTGCAATGGCTCAGTGCACTTCAACAGCACAGTTTTCCATCTGCGCTCTCCCTTAGCCCTCTTTCATTATCCACACAGTATTCAACAAGTAATGGCTTCAGGTGCTGCACACCCATTGGTCATTTCAAGTTCTCTGCTCAGAGCTGCAGCTATTGTTCTGTGGATGCATGCACATGTTGCGAGGTGGAGGTAATCATAAAAGATTCTACAGTTGCAATCATCGGTCACATTCTCCTGTGAGCGGCACCGACTCTGGCAAACACATGCACCCATATCTGTTTATGACATTTCACAGTATCTGCTCGCTTTATGTTTATGTGAAGTATGTTTTCAAAGATAAACCATACTAATTAATGTTCTTCACTAATACAGTTTTTCCAATAGTTTAAATAGAATAAATCTGAGAAGGGTTCTTGAATGTGGTGCCACAGTGCAGCGCTGAGCCTTGCTTTGACATGTAAACATGTTCAGAGAAGCAGGCCTCTTTCTCAGAGGGGCTGCTGTAGTGTAACTTCAGCTCCATTGAACAGCACCCTTCAGTGAGTTTGAGGTATCTGATTGAGTCCATCCATGTGGAGCGCTATTGAATCAAAAGAGTAAACCTCAAGGACATGGTCCAGCACACACCATCCATTGTGTAGAGGCATACATATATATATATTATTACACACACACACATCATTTGTATATATATATATATATATATATATATATATACACACACACACACACACACACACATACAGTAAGTGACTTGTTCAGTGAAAGCCAAACTTCTAATCGGTGATGGCCTCAGAGGTTATTAAGAGAAGATCGGTCACTGAATAGCATCATGAAGTACAAAGGAACTCACCAAGGAGGGCAGCGATAAAGTTGTGGATAAGTTTTATACATTGTCAGGTTATACGAATAATTATCAAGCTTTAAAGATTGCACCGAGACTCTCACTTATGGAAAGAGTATATCACAACAAACCTACCAAGACACGACTGTCTGCCCAAACAAACAAACATTGATCAGAGAATTATGATGGATCTCGGGCAGTTATTTAAAGAAAGACATAAAAGAAAAAGCAGACTGTTGCTGATGTAATTGCAACTAAAGGCGGCTCATCACTTAAACTCATTAAGACATTTTACTTTTTAACAAAACCATGTATCATTTGACTTTCACTTTGTCATTTTTTTTTTTTTTTTCTGAAAGAAAACCACAAACTTAATGTTGTTGTAATGTTGACATAATGTGGAGTATGTGGTTTGAATATTTTTTCAAGAACTGTGTGAATCTATAAAGAAAGATGCACAATAGTGGCATCACTTTGGACAATTGTAAAGTTGTTAATGAAAAGGCATGTGGTGATCTGTGATGAGAGCCAGTGCCTTATCACTCATCTCAGCATGTGTAATGTGTTCTCCACAGCCCTGGTGAGATGCTTTCTCATAATTACACTAGTATTTTCTTCACATTAGCAGGAAAGGCAGATTCTGGCTTCAAGGGAGATTTGTCTCTTTTCAAATAAGCAGCAGAAAGCTGCTGTGAGACGGACTGGTCAACACTGCACGGCCCCAGACAAAGCCGGACGACTGTAGGCTCCGATACACCTCTCAAGTGGTTAATTAAATGAGTCCAAGCACACAACGCTTGGTTTACCATAAACAATGTGATTAAAGCATCCATGGGCCAGCCAAACGCACAGAAGGAAAAATGATTCTGATCACCATGGAGATGTGAGGGGAAAGGTCTGAATGCAGATAGGGTTGTCATTATTACTTTTTATTCATTATTTTCATAATGACTGTCATTATGCACGGCCCTGATTGAATTCCATTTTGTTAGTCAGGTTTGTGGCGAGCAGAATAATTATCACTTAAGTGATATGAAGATTCATACTGAACATTTTCATGGCCATGTTCACCAAAAAGACTTGTTCATCTTTGATTATGAAAAGGAAAGCATAAAATTAAAGTGGAATGTTCTTGAATGGGCTGACTATAAAAACATTCCTGTCTTTTTCACCATAGAAAATGGACAGTACGTTGTTTAACAGCTCATACTTCACTTTTAATTTCAGGGTCATTATGCATTAGGCAGAATTTTAACACAAACACCTTTACTGCCTGTTCACCTGAGGGTTAGTCTCAGGTTCTCATAAAGAGACCAACATCAGAACAAACTCAGAGAACATACTCATCTCTGAGTTTATCCTACTTATAACTATCTTAAAGCAATCTTTAGAACTCACGCCTAGGGGTATGTATAAACGTGTTTGTGAATTGACAGTTAAGGTTCTTGTGTGTATTGAGATTGGTCATTTTTCACATTTGAGCATACGGCTTAAACACCAGCACGTTCCCTGTCTCTGTACCTTTCGGCAGCACGTCCCTGCTGCAGCCTACCAATGTGTTCACTGAGGGGATTTGACCAGGGTCTAATCAATCACTGACAGATTACCTCCAAAGCCACTTCCACAGCCATTAAAGCAGGACAAATGCAGAATTGCAACTGAACAAGTTGGAGTTTTTAAGCCAACACCAGGACTTCCTGGTTATTTGTCAAAGTCAGTGGCGGTGAGCCGCTTGAGTGGCTGCATGAGGCTGAGCGTGTCCAGCCGTGTGTGTGTGTGTGTGTGCACTTGTTTTCAACTCCTGGTGGGTTCCATAACCTGAGATTCCACTCACGTCATGGGGACTGGTTTTACGTGGTGGGGCCCGAACACCGGACCCCACTGGTCCAAGCTTAATAATCAATGGGTAATGCTTTTCTAACGGTCCTTATGCAGTCTCTGTAAAAATATGGAAAGGACCCCTGGAGGTTTACTTTCCTGAAAAAAGTGTGTTATGTGTCGGAACCCTGGTGGTGGGTTGCGGGATATCAAGGAGGGGCACACTGGGGCAATTTCAGTCCAGCAGGCTGGAGCCAATCATGGAGCAGCACAACAGAGGCTGGAGCCAATCATGGAGCAGCACAACAGAGGAAATCAGGTGTCAGGCTAGAAAAAGGTGCAAGTGTGTGGTTCATTAGGCTGCAGCCAATCACAGAGCAGCACACTGAAGCGCACGCTTACAAACCACTGGTAAGTGCTGACTACAAGTCATGACTTCAAATTGTTATATAGAATGATTACAAATTATTTGTTGTTTGTGCAGCTTAGTCAAGAGTCCCTAATTGATGAAGTCGACTCAGATTCTGACGATTTAACTGTCAAGAAGAAACCTGTAAAAAAGTATGGAAAAAGAAAAATCAAAAACACTTTTCTTCAAGACTCGGAAAGTGACGAACCAAAGGCAAATAAGATTGTTTATCATGCAGCTGCAAAAGAAGAAAAATGGGGGGCGAGTATACAGCAAGAGACACTTCTGCCTCTACTGTTCAATGTCCTGCCACAAAATGTCCCGTCATTTGACTAGAAAACATGGAAATGAAAGTGACGTAGCCAGAGCATTGGCTCTACCTGTGAAATCTAAAGCACGTAAACTTCAGTTTGATTTGATCAGGAATAGTGGAAACCGTGAGCACAATTTTGAGGTTTTAAAGGCCGGCATTGGAACTTTAGTCCCAGCTAAACAGCCAAATTCCCCAGTTAAATCCAGTGAGTTTTTGCACTGTATAGACTGTGGGGCATTGCTTAAGCGAAAGTCGCTGTGGAGGCATGTGGCCAGGTGCCGGCTTTCACAGAAAGATGCCCAGGCTAAACCAGGTAGAAGTAGGGTCCAGTCCCTCTGCTCCCTAGCCCAGCCTGTACCGGAGGGCATCAGCAAAAAGCTGTGGTCTTTAATTTGGGCAATGCATCAGGATGAGGTCACGGGTGTTGTCAAAGCAGAAAAGGGGATTCTGAGACTCGGAGAGCACCTGTACTTAAAACACGGGCATGATAAGACAAAGCATGATTACATTAGGCAGAAAATGAGAGAAGTCGGTAGGTTAATTAACGAAGCAAAAACCGCAGGGAAACTGAAAACAATTAAGGATTTCTTTATTCCTTCCAACTTTAACCATGTGATTGATGCAGTCAGGTCTGTGGCTGGATATGATGAGGAAACAAATCAATACAAGACTCCATCCTTGGCCCTCAAACTCGGCCATAGCCTCAGAAAGCTAGCAGATATTCTTGAATGTGACTCAAAAATGGAGCATTGTGTTGATGAACTATTTATTAAAAACCTCCAACGAAGCCGGCTGCTTTTTGAGAAGAGGTGGGACGTCTGTGTTTCTTCTGCTGCCCTACAGACCCTCCGGCAAGCCAAGTGGAACACTCCGGACCTGCTCCCTCTGACTGAGGACGTTAGAGCCATGCATGCACATATTGAGGTATGTCGACCTGAATATGTGCAAACCCTAATAAGTGAGCCTACTTCTTTTCCCGCCCGGGCGCAGACACCCACATCAGGGGATCAGACTCCCTACGCCAGGTAGCCAAAGAATGTGGTGCGGTGCATCCAGAGATGCTATCCTCAACCAAACTTAGAAAGCACATAGCTACTATGTCTACAGTTCTCAATATGAAAGAGAATGAGATGGACATACTTGCCAACTTCCTCGGCCATGACATTCGCATCCACAGGCAATATTACAGACTACCAGAGGGTACACTGGAGCTGGCCAAAATCAGCAAAGTGTTGATGGCCATGGAGCAGGGAAGAGTGACGGAATTCGAAGGAAAGAGCCTCGACCAGATACAAATTGAGCCTGAAGGTAATTCTTGATATTATTAAAATATGTATGATTTTTTTCCCCTAAAGGCCACTTGTATTTTTATTTTCTGTGCGACAGGGAGAGCAGTAGAGATCCTCTCACAAACGGACGGGCTAAAAGAAACTTCAAGCGGAGAACCTTCAACCATTCATCCAGATGCACCCCATGGTAGTGGCAGTGCCCCTTCTGGTAAGTGTACCAGGTGGGGGATTACAGCCAGGCTGCTTGGTCCTCACCCTGGGAGTGTATATTGCTAATATATTTTTATTTCTCTCCCTAGAACGTGTAAGAAAGCCATGGTCTGCATCTGAGGTGAAGGCTGTGGAGAAGACCATGACACCTTTCATACAGACTGGAAAGGTCCCTGGGAAGTCTCACTGCCTGGCCTGCATTAATGCCTCACCAGATGACCTTAGACATCGGACATGGAGTGGCATTAAATTCTATGTCAAAAATAGAATCACTGCAATTCGAAAACAAAATCTAAAATAAAATTCCTTTAAAATAGTTGTTTGGTTTCTATTGACTGTTTTGTATTACTTAAAGTCTTGGTAAAAAAAGATTATGTCTATGGGTCCCATTCTGAACGGCCCTGTCAAAGGGACCCACCAGGTAACAAAAACGTGTATGTGTGTGTTTGTGTGTGTGTGTGTGTGTGTGTGTGTGGCCAGCCGTGTGTGTGTGTGTGTGTGTGTGTGTGCGTGCGTGCGTGCGTGCGTGTGTGCGTGTGTGTGTGTGTGTGTGTGTGTGTGTGTGTGTGTGTGTGTGTGTGCGTGTCTGTGAGCAGACAGCAGCCCTGCACTGTTGTTAGTGTACCTGTCTGTGACGCGCCCTGGGCCGCGTCGCTCACTGGAGCTTACACTAAATCACATTCTCTTTATTGCTGAATTTAGAAGCTTATGCTCAATAGGCTCTGCTCCAATCTAACAGTGTCCCATCAGGCCTCGTGGAGAGGATTGGCCACACATTGGCCTCGGAGACAGAGAACTCATCCTTCTCCTTTATTTTGCTACATTATTTCTGCTGCTTTATCTGAGCAGCGAGCACCCTTACTCGTCTGGCCTTTTCTAATCTCTCTTTTTCTCCCTCTGGATTTCTGCTTTGAGACTCCCACTATTGTTCCCCATTCACTGGGGCTTTGTTTATATCAGCCCTTATTTGATGGAAGACATTAAGAATTGGATATCATCATTTTCATAGACAGTATCACCAAGGGAATGTGCTCTATTCTAATGCATTGTACACTTCAGAGGATGGACATTTTATCCTATAAGCTTTGTTCTTTATCCAAATTGAATTTGACATTTCTATGTCTATGCAGACACTGCAGGTTAAGTGCTGATAATTATTGGGGAGAGATGAATAAAAGTGTAAGATGTGTCTTGTGGAGAAGACATCAAAGCTTGGAGTGCTGTGCATGTTTGGTGTATATAGTGCAATATGGAAGCTCTCATTAGATGTTAGATTAGTGTGGCACTCCTTTGTGGAGATGACTTTGATTGTCTTTTGTCTTCTCCTCCTCAAGATAAACACTCTTTTGTCTCAATTACATATCATAGCGTGACTGACTTGATAATACCTCTTCTGCTGTGCAGTGCTTTGGTGGGGAGTACGAAGGCGCTGAAGTGATAGAGGACGACACAGGGTCCGCAGGCACTGGAGTTGAAATTTGGCTGGTCATGTGACTGGACCTCCCCCTCGCTGACCCTGTGGAGAAGAGACAGAGGCAGGCGTGCAAACAGGGAGGCAGGATGTGTTTGGAGGTGTGTGCTTGTGTGGGCGTTTGTGCACTGTCTATGTGCCTCCCTCTACCCCCCTCCTATTCAATTAAGAGCTTAAGCTCATTAGTGGCAGACTTACATCATTACCTCTCCAATGGATAATGAGTTAAAATCTATTTAGATTTATGTTGCTGTTAAATCTCTTGCACATGCACTTGGGATAAAATGCTTGCCCAAATGGTGCAGTAAAATTAATTTCGTATCATAGATAATGGACTTAAATGTGGAAGCAACAGTGAGTGTCCCATGATTTTACATCTGAGTTTTCATTTCAGAGGGAGCCTTTCTTTTTATAGCAACACTGCATATTCAACACACTTGAATTATACCTTTGGCTCCTGTATGTAAATCAGAAAAGAAAAGAGCAGGCTTTGTAAAGCAGGTTACAACTTAGACCAAGCTGTTATCTTCACAAAACACAAAAGAGGCATTTTCTAATTACTAGCTAATAGTTAACAAACAAAAGAGCAAGATGTTTTCACGTAGTAATTACATACGGATTAATTGCCTTTTCAATCAATTATAATAAAACTAACGATAGCGTTGGAAGCTAGCTTGTAATTAATTGCTTGAAAGGCAAAAAGAGGAAATATATTATTAGTTACAATAACTTGCAATAGTGTGTCTGGGAGTGAAATGAAAATGTCCAATCATATGGAGTGTGAATGAGAGCAGGTGAGGGACTTACCTTGAGGCTACTTTGACCTGGAGGGATGTCCGCATGTGGAGATGGAAAGATGGCTGACCATGTGTCTCTCTGCTTTTACTGCTGATTATGTGTATTTGGACATAATATTCACTTCATAACAACAGAACTTGAATAGACTGGAGGGACCATAAGTTCTGTTGTTGTGTGATACGATCTACTTCAGGCATAATGCAGCATTGGAAATCAGAGAAACTCAAGAATATAACCCATAACTAAAGCACAAACTAGTTCCTGATGGCAAACTTGTGGTGATTAGCAACAATGAGCTGACAGTGATTCAGTCTTTGATGTCTTGTTTGAGTATGGCCTCCCCGCTGACGCTTTGATAACTCTCTAACTGGGACATTTTCATTCTAATTAGGCCTTCAATTGCTAATTTCATATCGCTGCTATAATTATCACTGGGAGATACACAGACACTGCGAGATTTGGGGGCGAAACGGAAAGGTGAATGAATGCGTGTGTCGTGACGTGTGTCTGCGCTCACGTGAACCGCGCGTGGACTGGTCTGCAACAGGAGGTCCGCGTACACGTATAGATGCTATTAACTCTGTGATTGGAAGACATTTGCAAACTCATACACAATAAACAAACGCATGAAAGATGCAGATTATGACAGGCCACAGCTGCAGAGGCGTCCTAACGTTGTAATAAGCCGCACGTTGTAATAAGCCGCACAATTGAAACTCAAAAGAAAGCAGAAAATAAAGTTACAACAGAAGAGCAGATTTCTATAGTAATTATTTCCTCCATTAATTAGCCTTAAGGAATCCCAGTATCATGAAACTACTAGAACTCCAAGTGCCCAAGTAAAGGCATACGTTATTTATTATTTTTTTATTTTTTACAATTTTGTTTACCCGCTTTACTAAAACTGGTGAATACATTTAAAAATTAATATAGATATATAAGGAAAAAAGAAAAAAAATTGTTGAAAAGCTATGGAATGCTAATTACTAACAGTAAACAGCGTGTTGCCATGGTAACTAGCACTTTTCTGGTGCAAAACTTAATATTTTATTTAAATAAATAAATAAAAAAACACTGATATATAACTAAAATACCTATACATCGTTACAGAGTAAATCACACATTTAGGATGATCAAAGGGGTACACACTTTGAGTAGTGACACTTCTACTTCACAACTAAAAACCGTCAAATAGACTGCTCTAGTGTAAAGAAAGTAACTCATTTGCACACATTTGAATACCCGTAATGAATTCCCAAAACGCGCTTTATTCAATATTTAGTCTACCTTATCTGTGCCCATAAATCCTTCAACTCTCTCTCTGCTATACTAACCAGACGCCTATAATAACCTCATAGGCAATAATTGGGATTGAGGGCTTCCCCCCCCCTTCTTCTCTTCTGCTCCTATAAGCGCATGCGCATTCCGTATCGCACTGGTCAGTCTGAGAAGCAGCTGTTCTGGGCTGGTGAAATTCCAACATGGCAGTGGCTGTGGTCAGTGTTTCCTGCGTTAACTTGGGATGGTTACAGCTCTCTCGCAGCCCGGCTTAACCTCCGCGCCCCCAATTCGTCATCAGAAGCCGTCCCCAGGATCGATGGGACCCTAACCCCCCACGTGAGACCTCGACCTGTCGCTAAAATAACAGGTAAGAACATCGCGTTGTCCGTGTAGCAATTAGACAGAGTGGACAGAGCAGCCAGCGCGCCTGCAGAGGATACATTGTGGCACATTATTCCGGATTTACTCTCTCGCACTTTTCCAGATCCCAAGTTTTCACGTTCCACGCTCCCACTGCGCGTCTATTGCTCCTTTCCCCCAATATTGAGATTTGCCAAGTGCACCTGCGCCACGGGTAAAATACGCAAAGGCTGGTCCACACGAAGCCTGCAATGTGCGCCTCTCCGTGCAAGTACATTGACAAAACATTCCCAAGTTGCGTGATGCGTGATCGCGGAGCCTCTTTAGGAGCTGGATCGTAAATTCTGATGATGTGCGGATACGGCTACAAGTTTCTCTCCACACACAGCGTCTCCAGAGGGTCATGTGTTTGCTTAAAAGCCCAGACTTTTTTTTTTTTATGCATATATGTATTGGGCGTTATGGGCTGATTTCGCTCCTCGCCACTTCCAATTTTTTTTCTCTCCTCAAAAACATGCACCAGTTGAATCCTCCTCGCCCCCCTCCTCCTCTTCTTCGTCCTCAGCAGCAGCAGCAGCAGCTTGTCATCCCGGGTCCACTTTCTAATGAGATGCATGTAGGTTAGATGCGTCTATTGAGTTGCAAGCTCCACTCGGGAGGGCCCACCTTTCACACGGCTTCAAATACAACCACAGCGGGGAAAAATGCCTGCGTCTTGCTTGTCCGTAATGAACAGATTGTTATATTGTTGAGGGATTTCATTAGATTTTTCTACTTTTTTTTTTTCCTTGAAGTTAATGCCAGTGCTCTCATCTTCTCTTCTTGCTCTCCCTGTTCCAGCACGTCATGATCAGCAGCAGCAGTGTCTATGGTGAGTCTTAATAATAATAATAATAATTCTTTCACACCTCATCTATACATGCAAACAGACATACACCTTTGCATTTATTTAAAATACTAGTTTATGCAATGACAGGAGCGATGAGTTTTTCTTGGAGGCGATTTGTTTTCTATAGTTCAGCGTGTAAACAACTTGATTTAGAAATTAAACTTTAGCAATTCTGCCGTAATTGAAACATAGACATTTCTCAAAATTTTAATTCAATATTTTACTCAAAAACAGTTTATATCTGCATATCATTTGATTCATTTCATCACTAAATTGTGGATTTGTCAAACCTATAATGTACAGGGCGTATGCAGATACTTAACTTATATGCATCTTATTAGGAGGCTATAATTTAAGACAATTTACAACTATGAAATTTCTCCTGTTGCAAAAAAAAAAATCACATTTTCCAACTTTTTATTTAATACAACGGACATTTTTCCAACTTTATTTTTAAATCAATTATCAAAGACATAGATAATAACATATTTGTTTCTGTAACGATATCTAACCCCGGTTTTAACTGAGAAATACTGCAACCACTTTTAATTTCCAGAGCGGTTGGTCCTCTTTTTGTGGACGCAGCGACAATCTTTGACATCTGCACACATTATGATTTTTGCAGCAGTTATGAGCGAGGACTCAACCTTCCACCTTTGAACCTCTCTCCGCTCTGTGTGTGTGTGTGTGTGCGTGTGTGCGTGTGTGTTCTAAACGGCAGGAACTCTCTGAATTGTAGGATTTTAAAAAGACGACACGTGTGCAATAACTAAAACGGTTTACAATTAGACTTTTGACTTTGTTGTTTGTTTGTACCTTTATTTTGCCTTTTATATTAGCGCTAACAGGAGCGCTGAGGTGCAGATTTGTGTGTGCATGTAGCAGACAGGGAACAGCGGCATTAACAATCCGCCAGTGGTTTTGTGTGTAATGTAAATATTGTAGCTCCTCTGCAGTTTGTTTATTTCTCTAAGTCTATTTGTTTTCCACAATCCTGGGCTTAAGATCCATCCTCTGCATGTGCTGTCTGTGCGCGTGTTGCAGTGACAGTAGCAATAATCCCCTCATTATACACATAACGTATCGTCTTACATCTCTGGCAGCCCCCCGATAGAGCTAATAGGCACAGAGAGAGCAGAGAGAATAGGAAAGGAAGAAATACCACTTTGCAAACAGGGACTCTTTTACTCTGCCTCGCATGGCTTTATTTATCTAAATACAGACTTTCCTGGAGACACACAAATGAATAGAGTGAGCCGCTGTGCCGTGAGGGTGACTAAGTACATCCTATGGGACTGTATAAATAAATTATCCTGACACTTTCTATCAGTCTGTAATGTTTACCATTAAAAGCTGTTTTACCATCCTCAAGCCACCGATGTGCGATCCAGCCTAGGCTCGTGGGACTCGTGGCAAGACACAGATTTGAGTGGGGAAATGTGCTTTTCCACAGACCGTTGTTAGTGCTGGCCACGTTCATGTCAGTGGACTTCTCCTGTCTGCACGTTCTGACAAAAGACCCTCTTCAAACGAGAGCCAGGCAGGGTTGTCATCTTTTAGCAAATATGTTAAGTGTTATCTTTTGTGCTGTGGGCTTGTGGAGCGCAGCCGAACCCCAAGGGAGCCGAGCGCATGCAAATAGAACAAATCCCTCTCGGACCTGTCTGTCGGTTTCACTCTCTCGTTTCTCCTCTGTCTTCTCATCTTTCTCTCCTCTTTTTCCACATATGCTCGACAGTGCGTCAGCCTGTCTTGTCTTCCTGCTCTCTCATCTATTTCACTCTTTGTCCACTTATTCCCCCACCCTCTCTGCCTTACCCCCCTTTCCATCCCAGAAGACAGTGCTGGGGCTGTGTGTCAGCTAACTGTACTTGTGCTGTGTAGTCTTTGTGTGTTTCTGCTGTTCGCTGACAGCCCCTCCTCACAGATCTAAGTTCCTCTCCAAGACGGCAGGCAGCTGTCGTACAGTGCCGCTGCCCCCGACATGTTTCCCCGTAGATGACTGGACGCCAATTCCTTAAAATCTTTGACACACTGATCCACTCAATCTCCTCACCACTTTTGTTCACTGAAGCCAGGATTCTCGCCTCAAATGGGGGTTTTGGGATTGTTTGGTGGTTTTTTCCAGCGTTGCTTTGACTGACAGTTGCCGGTTGATCCCTCGTCTCTCCTTCCTTCCACTGCGTGTTTGTGTGAGTGCACAGCCCAGTGCACACACACATTTATATTCATCAGGCCGGTGTTTCCCCAGTGCTGCTGACTGGTTCTTATCCAGTCACAATCTGCAGGGTGGACTCCAGGCCACAGTCGTCCTGACTCAGGACTGAAGTTATATGCCCTTTGTCTAACACACTATGTACAAGTCACTCTGTACATTTGTGAAGAGGCTTAGAATGATATAACCGGGAAAGGTAATCCAGTATGATAAGCATGTTTGATGTATGCACATATGTGAGAGAGAGATCTGTCCATATATGTGAGAGAAGTGTCACTAGTCCACTTACCCGTATCTCACTGCTTAATTTAGCCCGTATTCCCAGACATTGAGTTAAATTCATGTCCATGTAAATTCAGGAATTTAAAAGCATTATCTTACATTCCTTGAACTACGCATCACTTCAATGTTTGAAGTTCTTCCATTTATGTAATGCGTCATTTTCACAAGTTTAATCAAATCAAAGCTTTTTTCTACCTTCTTTTACAGTCCTCTGCCCCTTCTCTGAATTTTAAACAGACCTGTGCTCACCTCCTTCTCCTCTTCAACAGCAATCTCGGCCACCCATGGCATGGATTCTCTGGTAGATATTAAAACATTCAGTGTGTGCAAGTGTTAAATATGCTAAGAGCTTATTATGAAAAAAAAAAACTTCCACATGGAATATTCTACACCATTAGACCTCAATAGGCGGCACACAGCTTATCCTTAACATTGTGGCTTCAAATGAGAAGGCGCCATTTCTAATTAGGTTATTGCCATGGAAGTCTTAAGTTAAATTGTGCATCGATATGCGTAGAAGCTCGCCACTCATTTGGCCCGAGCCACGTTGTCGAGAGCCTTTTTTCAGTGGGCCTCAGAAATGACAGCGAGGAGGAAGAATCTGACTGTAATCTCTGCTCCTCTCGGGCTGGCTCTGGCTGGGGATCTGATTTTGTTAGCAGCACCGAGCCTTGGCGAGATAGTGGCCGTCTGCTGCCCCTTCCCGCTTCCCCCTCCATTCCCCCCTTTCCTTCTGTCTGTCACTAAAATGTCTTGATTAGCAAAAAAAGGCATATCTTTTCTCTGGAGTTGGTTTTGGCATGCCTCTTGCTGACACCAGTGCGCTGAGGTGTGTGTGCATGTTAATGAACAATAGCTGTATAGGTAGAAGTGGCATGTGAGGCTGGCACGCTGCCAGAACTGGACAAAGGCTGGTGAGTGACTGGGCGTGTGGCACAGCGGCACTGAGCAGCCTGTGGCCTGTGGGAGATGGGCACAAACTGTCAGATCCGCTGCGAACAACAGTGTTTAAGCTGAACAATGGCTCCAGCCTCACTTGTGTTGGAAGTGTAGACGTGTCAAGAGCGTTGCCTTGAATCAACACACGTATTAACCTGTGTGTGCATGCTCATGTGCAGGGCCCAGCTGAGAGGCTGTGATTATGTACAGTAGTGCGCCCTGCGTTGGTGCGAGCGGGCCAAGCTGCCCCTGTGGAAGCAGGCGAGAGCATTAGAATGTTGCTTGTACCACTCACTTGGCAGGATGGACACATGTGGTAGATAGCTAATGATAGCATGCAGCGTATAATGAGATCCTACTCTCCGTCTGTCTCCCCTACCTGGCATCATGCATTAACCATACAAGAGAAAGAAGAGGCACGCATGGTATTGACTTTTGAGTGGGTGTCTGCTTGTCCGTTGTTGGTTTTGTTTAGCACTCAGAGGTCAGTATGGCTGCAAGCGCCGCACATTTATAACAAGTGTTGTTCTGCGCATTGCTTTTTTTTCCCTTATCGTGGCAGCTCATTTTTTGTACAAGTGGAAATTCTCCTCATGTGCACCTTTTGAGCTCTGCTAAATGGTTGTAAATTGATTTTGGAAGTGTTTCGATGTATACACTTAACATGCCAAATGGTTCAGTTTTTGAGTTAGTGTGTTCTGTCCATGTTTGAAGATGATTCTATGAACGTATTTGTCAGCCTCATAATCCACAGTGTATGATGGCAGGAGGAGAGTTGGCACAGATCCATTGCCATGCCCAGTAACATATATTTATCCTCTTCACTACACAATCCTCTGGACTGCTCGCAGCCCCCAGGGGGTCCCAATGACATGCTTACTAATGTGTGCTTTGGAAACCGAGTGCTATTGTATCCCCTAAATCTCACAAAGCACTGTATGATTTGCCCATTGTCGCTAAATCGCTTTGCTTGTGCCAAGTACTTGCATCTCACAGAGGCTTAATGCTTTGAGGGTTTCAGGGACAGCTTCGAGTTCTTCTTTTGTTGATTTCGGGGAAATGTGCCAAGACTGCTGCGCTGAATATTGTTTTGAGTATGGAACAGGGAGGGGAAAAGGGCCATTGCCAAGCAACTCCATTGAGCCTTGTGAATGGGCCATTCATATTTAGGAGAATCACCCAGATGCCATATTGTTGGCTCAACAACGCTAAATATTCTCCAACAAGGGTGGGATTGTTACAGGTTTGAGAATTCTAGGAGTAGAAAAGGACGTTGTGAAATTAAGGGAAAATATTCTCCACTTTACTCTATTCCCTTTATGTCTTGAGAAAAATAGAAATAATGGTGTCTAAATATGAATAAATAATTATCTTTTATTTGTTAACTTCTCACTTGTAGCATGCCTTTCAATGCAAGATTAAATTCCATGTGTGATATATTTTGCATGTATAATGTGGTAAAATCAACTACAAACATAATGTCTACATTTATTTTCTTAAACATATTATATACAACATACCGGTAATTATAAAATGATATAAAGACATTTATTATTTTAATTTTAGTTTGATGCTGAGTTTGTTATGAGTTGGGGCTCTGTTTGGTGGTCGCCGGTGCTGCAGGTGGGACAGGACGCAGCAGAAGAGACGGTGGAGGACGGGACTTGGCAGAATGTCGTAGTGCTCCTTTATGTCATGCACAGTATTAATCACTGCTGGATCTGCGCCTGAGAGCCTGATCAAATTTATTGTTTGGCTGCACGGGACAGTAATGGGTGTTTAATTACTCAATAAAAGCCCTTTTATAGATTCCCAGGCCTCCTGTGTGTTGAGCAAATGGTATTGATCTGTCTCCGGGCTGCAACATGATAGCCTGTGAAGGAGAATTAGAGCCGTTAGCCTGCTAGCGTTTTCTCATTCATTAGCTGCATTAGCCTGAGGGTGGTTAAGATGTAGCATCATTGTTAATACCTGGGTCTCCGAGGTTTTTGTGTCTGCCATATGTTGTAAAAAAAAAAAAACTCATTTCCGCAGATATGGATTGAATGAGTAATAAAATATCATCGACCAAAGTATTTCAATAAGAATCTAAGAGCTGTTTGAAATGATTTGCGTGGTTGCAGTTTGTCACTAGAGTCACAGGCGTCTAATCCGCGAGTCTCGATTCGATGACGCCCTTCCCTGAGCGGTGATCTGTATTAGCCAGGCTCCCTTCCCAAGCACTTGTTTAATCCCAGCACTTCCCCACCTTTAATCTGTAATCTGACGGCACCTCCTCCTCGCTGCCTAATTCTATGTCTTGTTGTAGCGGGCTGACAATAACTTCCAACTGTGTCCTGTCTGTAGCCACATGCAGGAGCTTATGTGATGTCCACTGTATCTGTGGCCACTTCCCCTTTTATTCCCCGCCTTAAACTGCCAGCGCCTTGCATCTTTTGTCCTTTTATGTGCGCCGAATATTGCCGTCTCTCTGAACCGGCCCCACTCCTCTTGATGCACCACGAAACCACTGCAATATCTCCCTTGATGTGTCTATATCAATGAATGTGGCCTATTACAGATTGCGGAGTCAGTTGGGTGGCTTTGTGGTCCAAAAAAGCACCCACAAGGGACCATAAAGGAGACATTGTCCAATATGGGTCTTACAGTTCCTTTGTAGATAAATGGATTTTCATGCTTATCAAGTGGGACAGTGACATGAGTGAAAACTGTGGAGAATGTGGAATTATTCTCACTCCAGGGCTGTACACTCAGACAACTGTAGATTCAAGTCTGTGTGGTCCTTTATTGTCCTGTCTTAAGATTTTTATGGCTGTGGCGTCCAGTGTGGGACATATACACCCTGTTAATAAGGCCACAAATCTGCCAAACGCGACCGCAACCAATTTGTTATTGTACGTCCTGTATCTGCTTCACATGCATCATACTGCGAGATAGCTCTGAAATGTCACCATTAAGAAGAATAAATAATTGTTTTCATATAAGTTCCTATTGATTCCTGAACAACGCTCCGGCAAATGTCATGCATAGTGGTTTTGTATACCAACACATTTCACACAAACAACATTATCATATAGACCGCAATCTTAACAAGCGTTTATGGCCTACGGGGCGGTTAATCAATGAGCATAGTGTGATAAAACTATTGTTAAGTTTTCACCTGACGGCATCAATTCAACCCACTCGCATTCCACTGCGTAAGACAAGGCACACGGGTTCAGGAAGGCGCACACACACACACACACGCACAATCGCACACCGTGGGGCACCAACGCGAGGCGATGTCGACTCAATGCCGAGCCAGTGATCTAGGTAATCTGCCCGTGCGCTGGGACAGGTCTATTGGTCTACAAATCAATTGGCTTCATGTCCATGCCATTAGGCTAACATGGCGCTGGCGAGGCGCTGAGAGCCGTAAACAGACTGTTTAATTCCCCTGGATGCCGGCCAGGTGGACACTCCCCCCCCCCCCCTCCTTTTTTTTTTACCTCCACTTCCCCCTGATCCTCCGCACACTGACTCTTTCCCTTGCCTTATCCGTCCTCCATCCCCTACTCCTCTCCTCTTCAGTCAATGCGCTCTGCAGTCTCCATGGACCAGTGCTTACAGGAATATTGCTTGGAGGGACTTGGTGTGTACAGAGCAGAGATTTTGGCCAATGAACCCTTGTTGTGCTCTGTCCTGCAGTTGTGTGTCTGAAACCAGTAAGTGATCCCTAGGGATGAAGTCTACTCAGCCAGCTCTCCATCTCCTCCTCAGTCTGTGTCCCATTCCTCTCTTTATACAGCCATTCTCTCTCTCTTTCCTCCCTTCTCGCTGAGGATGTGACTGTAAATGTGCGCAAACAAACAGGCAGAAAAAAAATGCAGATTTCTGTCCGGGCCACCGCAAGTTTAGCGCTTCCTGTTTTGTGGGACGACACCAAATAAAACAACACTTGTGTCCTCCCTTGGTGTTTACTTTCCCTATATGGCTGCGACTAATGACTCGCTTCTATCCAGTCAGCAATTCAATTTATCCACCTATAACAGTCACGCCGTCCGTCCTATATCACTCTCGACTTTGTGCTGCTACACTATGGTAATTGAGCCTGTGTGTCTTGAAAGATGAGTGTTGTTGCAAGTATCACTGTTGTGCGTCTCATTTCCTGCACGCTTTTGCTGATTGACTGTTAAGATAAGGAGACCGTGTCGGGGGAGAGCTGGAGCACGCCCAACACCTTGATGAACGGCCGCAGCAGGATTTAGCCTCTGGAAGCGCTGTCTTAAAGCTCCTTTTCTCCACAACGTCCACAGCACAAATTGTGACTTCCTCGAGTTCTCTTTTCGCCGGACTGTGCACCTTCCGACAGACCAGGTCAGCGCACAGCTCCTGTTGCTAGGAGACGTCCAAACCCTCGGACACATCTGGTCAGCTTTTACAACAGGCCGTGGACATTGGCTGAATAAAAACACTCCATACACTCCCTGGCTCTAACTGCTTGTAGCTTTAATTACTTAAACCGCTGAATCCTATTTTTCATCCATCATCACAGTGGCCCACTTTGAGGCCATTTCCACACAGCAGTCGTAAAAGTGGTTTATTTCCCTGAAAAATGGCTGTATCAACAAACAAGGCTTTGGAAAATGAAAATATCACATCCTGATTTTGAGTTTGTCCTGTTTGCTGGCCCTTCGTTCCTTGGCCCTGACTCATCTCCCTCGTGGGACCCCAGTGGTGAAATGACATTGCCTCTCCAGCAGGACGCCTCAGTCTTATCTTATGTGACAACTCCAGATTGCATTTTTCTTTGCCTTTTGCTGGTCCTTTCGCAAAGAGATCTCAGTGTTCTTTTGTAAACTCCAACACACTCCAGTCTTTCTATTGCCAAAGTCCACAAAGCAGAACGCACACTGGCGAGCTCTGGGTAAACAATAACATATGATCAGCTTCACAAAGAGAGGAAATGTTTAGACTCGGAATACTCGCTGATCATTTGTCTCTACAGATAGTATTTTTCATTTCACGACACGCAAGAAGGAATTGTGTGTTGCCTCAGGCGTAGAGAAGCGCCCCACGGTATTATAGCCGTAATTATTTATTTAGTAAGAGTGAAAACAAGACTTTGTAACCGTGGACGCTCACAGGGATATTGCTGTGAAAATATGTGAAAGTATATTAAGTTGCAAACACACACACACGCACACGCACACACGCACACACACACACACACACGTCAACAGTTATGGAGGTCCCGTGCTCTCGCTCAGGATCATGCACAACTGCAGGGGAAATGCAGAGCAGTGGCGGATTCAATCTCTGGCTCTGAGTGCAGTTCAGAGCTCTGGTGACTTTGAGGAAGAAGACTGGAGAAGTTGTTTCCTAGAAGATGGGATTTGCACTCGGATATTGTCTTTAATGAACGCAGTATACGGTGCACACGCTCTTATGAACGATGGCGAGCATGTAGGCGAAAGTAATAAAAATTCTTGCCTGTAGCCTGTGCATGCGGATGCTGGTTTTGAAAACATTATAATCTTGGCAACATTAACTACCATGGCTTACTGTTAACCAATTAGAAAGTCTTTATCCTGCTTTTGACATTTGTCCAGCAGCGGCAAACGCAGGAAATTAATGGCAGATTATTGGCACAAATCCAACTGTGGCATTTTGAGCTGGGAAAGTTGCTCAATATAGTTTTTATTGACCCTTTCAAGCAACAGTGAATCATTTATTTCACATGTGTTTTAATAGATTTGTTTTAATTCTTTACTGTGAACATGCAAATAGTCATACAGTTAGGACCCGGCAATGTTACTGTCCACGTTCTGCCACACATTTGTCACACATTTGTCAAGCTTTGCTCAATAAACACCTCTTAAAGCCTGGAATCTGCAGAGGTCACTTGCATCACAATCCACACATGTATTATTGATGACTGTAAAAGTCCGAGATCAGAAACACAAGTTCAGCATGTCATTCATTTATTTAAATGTTTTTCTGCATTGAGCGTCCAATATAATCTATTTATATTTATATACAGTTAAAGAATGTTATTAGTAAAGCAATGTACTTGTGGCTAATCATTTTCATATGTATTCTTCAAATTCATATGACATACACAAGCTTTATTTTTAACTAGAAAAATAAATCAGCAAATGGGTGAGCAGAATCTCTAAAGCAGGTGTCTCCAACATTTTTCACCCAGGGAGCTACTTTCCCGGGACGATAAAGGGAGAGAGCTACTCCTTTAAGCTAACCCTGGGAAAAAGATGGTAATATATTGGTGTGAACGAGTCTGATATTAGATACGTTCATTATTTATGATTGCATATTCGTTACTAGTGCACAAGGTAAGTGGATTTAAAGTAATAAATAATGATAGTGAATAATACCATCTGAAATATTAAGTATATTAGTTGATTTGTCTATTTCTAAATCCTTTGGTGAGCTACCTGGAAGGGGGTGGCGAGCTACTGGTGGCTCCCGAGCTACAGATTGGAGACCCCTGCTCTAAACAATCAAAGTGGTCGTTGGTCGAATGCCTGTGGGTTTGTGGCAAAAGATAAAATACGTTCTCTATTGTTGCAGGTTATTTGTAGAATATCAGTTATAAAAATCCAAGTACAGTATGATAAACTAACCACACATGTAGCGTTGTCAAAAGTATCGATACTTGGATATTTGAAAAGACACCAATCATCAATACAAGACATTTGACATTCCCTGAGCAATTTTAGATACATCAAATCATTAAAATAACAATTGGTTTACTTTTTTTAAGAATAGATTTTTGACTCTTAAGTTTACGATAAAGTGAGTATTGTGACAACAGAGTACACATTTCTTGAATGGAAACATAAAATAGTCACATTAGGAAGAAGAGAGTAGATTTCTCTTTACCAAAACCTGAACCTATTGTTATTTTCGTAGATCTCCTCAAATATCTTGTACAAACATAAAGGGCAGGGCCGTCGTAGCTGACGCTTTAACATCCTGGGTGCGTTATTCAAAGCGGCAGCAGTCTATGCAGCCTAATCTTACCTCAAACATGTTTTTATTACCCTCTAAGTAGCGCTGATACAATCTCCTGGCTGCGCTTGTCACATCGAGCCGTGAAATCAGGCGTCTCGGGATAAACGCGAGTGTGTGCTCTCACTGAATGTGATTACAGTTATTGATCGATCCGCAATGACACGATGCTGCCGGTGTCACCTGAGGAGAGGCTGAGTAAAAGGACTGGAGAAAGCTGTGTTCATATGTTAGCCGCCCCATATGCGTGCGCCGTACTGTTGGACCAGGATCCACGCTGGTAATGTGAGATGAAACGGAGCCTGTTAGCCGCGGCCTTACATCTGCTGTCAGCCACTGGCTCTAACTCTGTTAAGGATGTTATTGATTGCTCATTATTAGCCCGTTCCCTGAAAGATGAGCGTCCCCTATGATCACATTAAATCTCTCGTCTGTCCAATCCTCCTGAGAGGCCTTCTGCTCATCCGTGCCCATCACGTTTCTCCTGTGAGATCTGATATCAAGCAGCCTGACGTTTCTCCTTTTGTTTGATTTACTCACAATAACTGTTTTTTTTCTCCCTTTGAACAGGCACCATTTTACTAATTGATGTCTTTAGTCTGTGTAATGGAAATCAGCTTACAGGGATGAGCAGCATTTGAAATTATGATTTGTTTCCTTTTATTAGTGCAAAGCGACATTTCAGATTGTCGTGTTAGCTTTGTGATCTGTGTTTATTGATTTGATAGCAAACAAGAGGAGCTGACATGCTGCCTAATATGTACTTTAGTTTCAAGTAGCTGATTTAGCTTGTATTATTCATAATGCACTCGGAGATAAAACTCGTCTTGTCAAATGTAAAGGAGTAATTGTATTGTTGCATGTTCTTTCTCATGGCTGTGCTTGTCATTTTGCCTGACGATAAACAGTTGTTGGAGGTGTCAGGCGTGCGCTGGGCCCTGTAAAGTTTGGGATGTCTGAAATCCAGCCTCCGCGAGAGGCCATCTCATCAGGCCCAGCCGGCTCCATGAATAATGCAGAGCTATCGACTGTGTCAGTTGAGCACGAGGAGCCGCGGCGGCGGCCAGCTTGATATTCCACTGCTCGAGCTGAGTGGACGGGCTCACTTTGAGACAAACTGCTGCTCTCAGCCGACATCACCTGCCTGTGCTGGCTCGCTGCTGTCTTCACCATGCTCTGTGCGCTCCAGTAGAGGCAGGTATGGCCCAGAAACACTTGTGTGTGTCTATACATGAGTTTACAAATATTTGTGCCTCAAATCCTAGCTTTTACTTATGTACTCTGGGTGTGTGCAGAGAGCTCTAGTGAGAATCTCCTGCCCCTCGACTCGACCAGTTCAGTCTCAATGCCACCAATCGATGGTGTATTGATCCAGTGTTTGACTGTTTAGACAAGCGCTGTGAATTGCAGCATAATGTGAGGCCGAGTGGATTTACAGAGCAGCCGCACACACTGTGTTCATGTGTGAGGTGGTCCAGGTGTGATGCTGGAGAAGGCCTTCCGCTGTCCCACTGATGGGGCCCTGTGATGGGGCGAGTGTGACCTCAGCTCCCCTCTCACCTGTCCTGTCACTGCTCAGGCGACACCCTGACACCAAGATGGATGACTCCAAGTTTATTACCAGCTCCAAAATGCAATCTAACAAGTCCTGCCGCCTGCTTTATTATTTACACTATCATTTTTCCGTATATATATAAATCTAAATTGTAACCATGACCTTATGACCCCTTTCCTTCAAGTCTTACGTGACAATAAAGCTGTAAATCTAAAGTGATATTCTTCTAAAGCAATGCAGACTATTTCACCTGGACTCTCATATACGCTCTGTATTTTTTATGCTGATACAAAAGTGAGTTGGCAGATCTAAGGTTGAAGGCTCGTGTGACCGGGGGTAGAGGTGATCCAAGCCTGTAGCCTCTTTGTAATCCACACACATGCACTCTTCCTAAACGTGCACACTCAGGCCCTGCTGATCTGCACCGACTAACCCACTCACTCTCCAAATGTTATAAAAATCCACAATAGATCCCATTTAACACTCGTTCAAAGCTCTCCTCTTTAACCAAGTGATTCAAGGAGACTATATTGTTGGAATGTAGAGTCCAGTATACTTCTTGAAATGTTTTTTGGAATGTGCATCACTGAAGTTACGGTACCTGAGGATTTCCGCAAGGTATGGTCAGCCGGAATTGAGACTTCAAGTAGGTACTTATTGTGTTGCATTGAAATGGAAAAATGCAGAAGGTAAATGCCAACTTTATCTGAAGGAGCGTAGCATTTACACATAATTCTGTAATGAAAAACCTAAAAGAAATCAAGAAAGCACTTGAGCCACGCGGTACAAGAGAAATAGCCGCCCTAATTGAAATACAGTCTTGCAGAAGTTGTCAGGAGCTCTTTTTCATCGAGGCCCTTTTTCAACGTTTTTTCCTCCCCTTCACTCTTCAGAACTTATTTTGCAAACTTGACACAATATGTTTTGATCCCACAATGACTGACATCTCTAATTCACCAGGATTTTGTTCCAGCTTTACATAAGACAAGCTTTACTCCCAGTCAAACTTTGCATACAGCCCCAGCTTTGGAAATAAACAAGTCTACTGCCATTTTTTGGATGTATGGCATGAATTTGCATATGTAATCAGTGTTGACAGATCCTGTTTTGTTTTGATGAAGAAAAGGTTGGAGGATATTATGTTGACCCGAGATTTTTATACAGTTTTTTGGTGTGTGTAGATTGACAGGTATTTTGTTGTATGTGTGTGTGGATGAATACAGACAGGCACGGCACGGTCCAGTCCGCTGTGAGTGAGATCGGCCCACACAGACGCAGACACAGACATAGACACGTCCACAGATGGTGACACCCTTCAGTCCCTCCCGCCAAGTCCACACGCATATGCCACCAAGCACCCACCCTCGCACACACACACACACACACACACGCACACACACACACACACACACACACGCACACACACACACACACACACACACGCACACAGGCAACAAACAGAGACGCATCATTGAGCATGGAGCAAGGGAAATCGGCGCGCTGTTAAGTAATCATTCATGTGAAGCGCAGACCACACAAACAATCCTATAAATACATCGCCCCACACAAACGCAAGGCGCCACTGACGAATCCGAAAGTTCCCCGCCAGATCCATCCAGTTTTATCGACTCAAAAGCAGTCTACAAGTGGGATCATTGATATGTTAACACTCTCTGTATCGCTGTTTAATTCCCCTGGCAGATATGTGTTGTGATATATTCATTTGTTGATGGCTAATGTTTCCTCTCTGGCTGGAGTGTGTTGTGGAGGTAATCGCCCACTCTGCTGTTTGTGAATCTTCCTGAGGATTGTATTTGAATAATGAGGGAGGCTGGAGCCGTCTCTGGTGCGCCGCAGCAGTAAATGACCTCTGAATAGTTGTTTTGGATTAGCCATCAAAGTCTTCTCTCCAAGTGGCCAATAGATAGGTACTTCCAGAAATGAGTCACTTGAAAATGATCATTGCCGCCGTTGCCGTATAAGATAATGGATAACCATTACACTCCATTTTCCCCAGCTCCTCACCCACACAACGCCTGCTCTTGAAATATGATGCATCCACCGTGCTTAGTGTGCACTTAATGTCCAAAAGCTCTGTATTTGTTGAGATTTACAACCTGGCGCTGGGAGGGGGGGAAGAAAGAGTGTCGTTGGCGTATAATGTTGTTCACTCAATAATTATCTCATTTTATTTACGAAGACAGACAGCTTTAGACGAGGTTAGAGGCTTCCTCTCTATTATCTCCTGCAGCAGCGCTCTCGGCCCCCGCTTGCCCCAAATAGCGTCCTTCATGTGGAGGACTTTCCAAAGTTTGATCCAGGAAGGCGATGTGTGCTCCACTGAATGGGAAGAGTGTTAAAAGGAAAAAGCTAACAAAATTACACAGTGGCTGTGTTGCATTGCTTCTGGGATCGATGTCATTTCTAAAAGGATTAAGGCCCCTCTCAGAAATCTATTTTAATTACTGAACACACAGGTAAACAAAGTGCTGCTGGTTCACAGCTATGGATTGGGATGTCGGAGGAGTATTGATAGTGTGTGGCCCCATGTTAACCCCAGGGCCGCTTTTAAAGATCTCAGTGGGTGCAGCCCAGAGAAAAGGCTGAATGCTGATGGACAGCCACCTGTCACTGGACAAGATGACTCCCACTCACTTTTACCTCTTAAGCAGAAGTTTGATCGTCTTTCTTTAGTCATGCTGTAACTTTGAAGGCCTCGTTGAACACAGGTTAAATTTTTGTAAATATATGTTAGCCCAAAGTTGTTCAAGAGTTTCTCAAAGTTAGAGCAGTGGGACTTTCAGGTTATGTTTGGATAACACTCTGTGTCCTGTAAACATAGAAAATCCACATCAGCCGAGCACAGAAATAGAGCAGGGCCCACAGTGACGGAGCGCTCGGATAAATCACTGCAGTCATGGCGACTGTCAGACGGGTGGACATTCATTAGACTCTCTGTCTGACTCCTGTTTGCAAAGAAAACACTTACTGTAAATCATTACTACTTATCAAGTCAATAATTGACAGTTTAATATGTTATACTTATAATTTATAGGATCATGTCATTTATGACTGAATACAAAACATTGGTTTGGGGAAAAACGTCTTTTCCAATGTTTTAATGTTTAATATGTTTATAGTTAAAATATTATATTTCCACATCAAATTCACTTCCTGTGGGTAGTGCAAAGAGACTTTGTCTTCTTGTTTAAGTTAATTCTAGTGGTTAGTTAATTGTTGATTCCGTGGTTGATTAGTTGTTATGCATCACGTCATTATCATCAGCCTTTGTCTTCTAATGACACGAGCTTCACTTTTGTAATGACTTTATGTTTTACTCACTGCATTTCCAGAGTGTGTATTTACTTTGTGGCATCTGTGTGTAGTGTATCTGTGAAGCCTGCAGACATGAGTGAAAGAGTTTGTGTTCACACATTCACCTTTTACAATCTAACACTACTGATTCATTTGTGATTTGTACTTTATTGTTCATTTTATTTTCAAACTAAGTTTTAGTGGAGACAATAGTCTCTTTGTGATAACTTGAAGAATAAATAAAGTAGCGGCCATCTGTAATTGTATTAAGTCAGTGCTCCTGCCTCAAACAGCTGTCTGTGTGCGTTAGAGTCACATATGTGTGTGTTCCCGTTGGCTGCGCGGTGCCATTTTATTGAAAGACGCGCTGATTTTAGTGTAAATGATGAAAGAGGGATGAGCGCCCAGGGTCACAACACTGTTAGAGCACCGTGGTGTTAAGAGCCTTTACAGATGTTTTGTTGAGGAGATAAGAATAATGTGTTTGGCTCAGCGGGCGCGCTCTGTCTGTGCATGTTTGCGTGTCACTCTTCATTTCTCCCTGTGCGTCGGCCATGTGTGTGTGCCAGAGGAAGGAGCCCCGCGTGGAACCGGGTGATTAGGCACGCTGCGCTAGTCACAGGAAATGGAGTATCTGACGGACAGGCCCAGTGCATTATAGATGAATGCCATGCGTTAGCTGCTCCGAGCCCCCGCCCAATATCTCTCAATTTCCTCTCTGAATGACAAAAGAAGCCACGCACAATTTCCTTGATCCGGAGCATTTGTTTAACTGCGCCCTACCCATTTAACCCACCCATTCAATAGTCTGTCTGGTAAAAGGAAATTTAGACAGTGTCAATTTATACAGCTCTAAGGAAGATCTGATCGGCAGCCGGAGCCACTGCACTATACGCCTCTGGAATGTAGTTGGGCTGGTTGAGGCTTGTAATGGCTAAATTTAGCAGTGACTCTTTTATTAGATACAGTCTAATTCTAACCTAATATATATACAACAAAAATAATTGTTGAGTTTGCATATTTTTGCGCTGATTTGATGCCAGGGCTATTAAAGGTTTGAAAAGGTTGAAGATTACAATGAATCTTAGATATGTGAAAGATTCTGTCATTTGTCACATGTTGTTGTACGGCAGCTCCGAGCTGTCATGTCGCTCTGACTGTCTTTGAGTTAGTGACGGCTCATCTTTGCCGGTCAGTGCTGCAGAGACTTTGAACTCGCTCTGTTTGTCTGTTGTTGTTGTTATTGTGGCTGTTTGCGGCAGACTATGGTTGTAATGGTAAGTTGTGCCGGGCTTGGATTGAC